ATAAAAATTGAAAGGGAGCTCATGTCAATAGATATAAACAATTCACCACAATTTCTTGCAAGTTGGTGAAAGCATTCTTGAGTTATTGTCCGAAAACTGGAAAATCCCCCTTTTTTTAATGAATAAAACCCCATAACTCGGAAACGTAAAATCTAAAATTTATAAAAAACAAAAGGGAGCTCACGTCAATAGATACAAACAATTCACCAAAGTTTTATGCAAATTTTTGCGGTCGTATAACGGTATGACGTTGGCGTCGTCGTTGTCGTCGTCGTCCAAAGACACATTAGTTTTCGCACTCTAACTTTAGTTTAAGTGAATGGATCTCAATGAAATTTTACCATCAGGTTCAATACCACAAAAGGAAGGTGGGGATTGATTTTGGGGGTTATGGTACCCACAGTTAAGGAATTAGGGGCCAAAAATAAGCATTTTTGTAACTTCCAGACATAACTTGTGTGTAAGTGTATGGATCTCTCTGACATTGTACCACAAGGTTCCATATTACAAAGGGAATGCTGGGATTGATTTTGGGGGTAATTGCCTCCAAATTTTAGGAATTAGGGGCCAAAAAGGGGCAAATAACAAGCATTTTTCTAGTTTCATGACAATAACTTGTGTGTAAGTGTATGGATCTCTCTGACATTGTATCACAAGGTTCCATATCACAAAGGGAATGCTGGGATTGATTTTGGGGGTAATTGCCTCCAAATTTGAGGAAGTTTAGGAATAAGGGGCCAAAAATAAGCATTTTTCTAGTTTCCAGACAATAACTTAATTGTGTTCAAATGTATGGATCTCTCTGAAATTGTACTGCAAGGTACCATACCACAAAGGGAAGGCTGGGATTGAGTTTGGGGGTGATGAATCATAAGGGGGTTCAAAAAATTTGGGGGGGGATTTTTTTTTTCTTTCTTTTTTTCCTTTTTTTTTTTCTTTCAAAATTTTCCATTTTAAGTTGGTTATTTCTGATTTATATTTAAAAGCAAATAATAATGATATGGTAGGAGATAAACACCAAACAGGATGTGTAAATTATTATATAATAAGTATTGTGCAATAGCAAGAAATTTTCAATTGCACAGTATTGCACAATAGCAAGAAATCTTCAATTGCACAGTATTGCGCAATAGCAAGAAATCTTCAATTGCACAGTATTGTGCAATAGCAAGAAATATCCAATAGCACAATATTGCGCAATAGCAAGAAATTGTCAACTGTACAGTATTGCGCAATAGCAAGAAATATTCAATTGCACAGTATTGTGCAAAAGAAGATACTTCGTATAAATTGCTTATTTCTTGACCAATTTCAATGGGGTTTTATTCTTGAAGTCTTGGGGTTCTTTAATATGCTGAATCTAACCATGTATTAAGTTTTTGGGCCCCGTTTTTAAATTGGTCCACATTGAGGTCCAAAGGGTCCAAAATTAAAGTTTGTTTGATTTCATCAAAAATTGAATTATTGGGGTTCTTTCATATGCCGATTCTAACTGTGTATTTAGATTCTTAATTTTTGTTTCCGTTTTCAAATTGGTCTACATTAAGGTCCAAAGGGTCCAAAATTAAACTTAGTTTGACAAAAATTGAATTCTTAGGGTTCTTTGATATGCTGAATCTAAACATGTATTTAGATTTTTGATTATGGGCCCAGTTTTCAAGTTGGTCCAAATCAGGGTCCAAATTTAAACTTTGTTTGATTTCAACAAAAATTGAATATATGGGGTTCTTTGATATGCTGAATCTAACCATGTATTTTGATTTTTGGGCCCCGTTATCAACTTTGTCCACATTGAGGTCAAAAGGGTCCAAAATTAAACTTTGTTTGATTTCATCAAAAATTGAATTCTTGGGGTTCTTTGATATGCTGAATCTAACCATGTATTTAGATTTTGGATATTGGACCATAATAGGTGAATGTCCAATTTAAAATTTTTAAGTTCTTAGACCACATTCATTCTGTGTCAGAAACCTTATTAATAATAATGCTGTGTCAAATATTTAATCACAATCCAAATTCAGAGCTGTATCAAGCTTGAATGTTGTGTCCATACTTGCCCCAACTGTTCAGGGTTCGACCTCTGCGGTCGTATCAAGCTGCGCCCTGCGGAGCATTTTATTTTTTTTATGTCAATCATTGGGATGGCCAACTCGGCAACTGATTACCATAATTGCCTTTTATTTATTTAGTCTTAAGGGATTAAAATCGGGATAATATTTAAAATGTCCGGCTGGCTAAAAATAATTTTGGAAGCCCTGCTTCTTACATCTGACATTGTTATAACATTATATTGGTCATTTATCATTTTATGGTTCATCACAACATGGCATTGGCAATGATTACGTTGAAAAGTAACAATACCAAAAAATTATAGTTACATTTACATGTAAGACTAAGCACTGTTCTCCCCAGATATTTCATTTAGCATCCTGGTAAACAGGGAAATTTAAAATACCATCTTGTTTCCAAATATTATAGCATCACATCCATAACATAATCTATAAGAAAACCAATTCAGATAGCATCACAAATAAGATTATAGCATCACATTACCATGATGCTTAAAGGCCCTGGGGAGAACACTGCTAAGGCCATGCAATAATGATTGTTTGTTTACCCCTACCCTGCCTGGTCTGTTTTTATTGTCTGGGTCAATTCTTTTTTTTGTTGAAGATAAAAAAAAGTGTTGCTTTGGTCTCTAATGACAATTTTTCGATGATGCTTTTTAAAATAGTCTTATAACCTCTTAAAAGTGTGTCAACATTGTTCAATTACCATCCCTTTAGTTTCACATAGCTTATACCACAATATAGAATGTAAAACAAAAGTTAAGTGCAATATTCTCTGTAGTTCTACACTGATTTTTCACAAAAAATTAAAAGAAAAAGATTTTCCTGTCTGCCTGGCCTTAATACAATAATAGTTTTCTCATATTAATGGAAACCAACATTTATTTTTCCATGACCTAAATTCTGTAGTGCTTAATGTAGGTAGGGTCAGGAACTGATTAATTATTAACATAACAATGCTACTTGTGTCTACAATTACATGTACATTTATTATTGTTAGATTTATTAAATGTTTAAGTCTTTGGTTTTTGTTGCTCAATTCTCCCATATATGCTTAAATAGTTTTTAAGTATTAATTCACATGTTTTAATATTCTTTAAGATAAATTGATAATACTATCATGACTATATATAATGTAGAAGTGCCAAAGGTGAAGAATATAGTTCAATGGTTGGATGTTTGTGATGGCTGCCTTGAGTGGTTCTACCAAAAAATGTGTAGGTCTAAAACATGCACAAAAAACACAAGCTGAATGTGCAGAAGTTGCCATTGTTAATAAACTATACAGTGTATGCAATATTGTCATGATTGTATTATTGAATTAATGTTGAATAAAAGGGTTTTCAAGTTCTATTTTGATACATGTATTCCCAGCATACATGGAAAAGCAATGTCACCGTAGACACAAATATCATTGTTATGTCCATAATCAATCAGTTCATGACCTGACCTTGCATTCCTGCAATTAGTCTTAATGTAACAATAATTTTTCGTGATTGTTATTTTTTCAACATAATTGTAGCCAGTGCCACACAATAAATGACAGACAAACCTATGAAGCTGTAAAAGTTTTCAGGCCTAACATCCAATAGATATATAAACATGATAAAAGCTAAATGCATTTTGTGTTTCAGAAAAACAAAATCTATTTTAAGATTTTGATGGGTATGTGTTTTCATCACTACAGAAGATGGTAAAATAAACACCTGAATTACATTTGACACTGTCCACTGATCATGAGTAGTATAGGTTAGACAATACTTGGTCATGTTTTATGAAGATTAAAAGCCAAAGGTGTAGCTGAGGGTTTTAAATGTTCCTAAAACATGACCAAGTATTGTCTGACCTTACAAAATTATCCTTTCCCATTGTAATATTCAAACCTTAATTAGAATTCACTTTTTATAATGAAACTTGATTAACAAAAGGAATGTATAACATATATATGTAATGGTCATTTCAATGGATGGAATGAAATAGCACTAACATAGTTTTGTGAGAACAAAAAGGATAAATTGTTCAAACATTTGTGTTTTTCTTCTGCTTCAGGTAAAATTTCATACTTATCATGCTTATATACCTTAAATTACTTGGTTATAAAAAGCATGCAATGTTATTTAAATCAGCTTTTTGGAATTTGTATATTTTTTGGTAATTATAAAACTCACTCAATAAATTTAAGAATTACGATCATTCAACATCAGATGCTTACTTTTTATTGATGTGTTGTATTTTTCTTCTTCATAAAGTTCCTTTGCTTTATATATCAGCAGTCTGACATTGTTTTCTTTGAAAAAAAAACATTGACTCTAATCATGATAATGTCTGGTATTAAAATTTATCTGGAAATGATACCTGTCAACTTTTCAAAATCTCCATGTTGGGATTTTAATTGCAAGAGGACATGATGCTCCTCTTATATTGTACTAAGTGTTTTTAATCTACTACTGTATTGTTTGAATGAGTATATATGTGATAAATACCCTTTTACATGTTTTAACTCATTTTAATGTCTGTTTTGAGGTGTTCAGTTTATAATATAATAAAGAATTTTAAAGTTCATGTCAACACCTCTCATGGGGAAAATCCCCCTAAATCGTGCGAGTTGGCAGGTCTGGGAAACATCCAAGATTTTTAGATAAGAAATAACAACGTCTGGCCTTACATTCATTAAAATTTTTTGAACGATTATCATACTCAGACTCAGAAATCAACCAATCAAAATACTGGAACTCATGTTTCGAGCACAAATTTTGTGGTACTCAGTAGATTTTTATAAACTGAAAGGCCAGATCCTGTATTTGTTAATGGTTTATGAGTATGATTCATACATTTTTTACAATGTACATGTAAATTGAAATAACTGTACATGTCCCTGCTGTGTTCCATGTTGTCATTTTATAGTAAGTTAGTCCATTTTTTTTTATGTAGATGCTTGATGAAAATAACCAGTTGATACAAGCTATCACAGATTACCAGAATAAAGGAAAGGCATCAGAATGCATGCAGTAAGTAAACAATATCTTAATTGTTCAGTTAATTCTTGTTCAATAAACTTTTAACTCCTGACAATAAAATTTCTAAAAGAATATATATATTGTTACTTGCCAGAGTTTGATGTTTACTTCATGCAGTGACAAAAAAATCAGTTTTTGATAAACTGACAGACATAAGATTGTTCAGAACTTCAGATGTATAGAAATAATGATGAAACCCTTAAGAACAAACAAACAATAGCTTTCTGAATCTCTCATTTTTGTTTCCTTGATTAAGTGCTTCCAATACAATATTAATGTATGTATGATAAATATATGTAAAATGTATGTCAATTGTTCTAGGTATCAGCAGATGTTACATAGAAATCTGGTTTACCTTGCTACTCTGGCTGATTCCAACCAAAACTTGCAAGCTCTTCTCCCTGTAAGTATATGACTAAGGTACTAGATAAGACCTGGTTTATTTAAAAGTTGAGTCAGTCTTGTCAGAACATTTTTTACATGTCAGATTTAGATGAAAAGTTTTTGCATAGTTTACAATCATGTTAAAGTTGAGATTATGTCAGTTAGAGGAGAACAACACATAGTAACCCAATGATATTTGGTATACATTTGTATTAGCATTCAGTCTTCACACTTAACTTTTTAACCTACAAGTCAGTAGGACTTGTGGTTCATAAATTTTTACAAGTCCCCAGAAAATTCTACAAGACCACACAAAATATTATCACCGCTGAGCAGCGCGAAGCGCTGCGAACCAGCTAGGAGGGTTCTGGGGGCATGCCCCCCCCAGAAAAATTTTGAAAAATTAGATGCAAAATCCTGCATTCTGAGAGCTTTGAGTGTCATGTTTTGAAGATAAATTTAATAGGAATAACATTGACAATTGGAGAAAAAAGTAAAAAGTAGCTGTTATAATAATTTTATTCTCTAGAAGTAGAATGCTGTAACATTTTTTAGCCTCTGATGGTTCAGCTGCAGGCTTCTCATATTTAGAGCAATAAATTTGTGACTCTTATTCTTCTCGTGAATTTTAATAGTATCCAGTTTAAAGTTGTCACTACCTGGGGTCACAAACTGTGAATCCATTTTATGTTCTGTGCACCATGAACAGAACATTTTGTTTTTCAACTCATACATCAACCAAGGACTTCCTTCTAACCAACTGGAAAGGAACTGACGCGACCATGTAGCGTCGTACTTTCTCTTCCTTACATTTTCATCGGCGGGGGGCTAAAACGGCTTCCCCGGACGAGCTCCGCCAGTACATTGCCAAAGAAATATTTTGGGAATATAAGTTAGGGGGAAGGAAACCAATGATCTGTCATTTCATACAATGTCTCGATACAGTATTAATCGCAATACGTTTAATTCATGTGAAAAAGCGCAAAATAGAAACCGATTTATTGGTATCACTAATTACCAAAGACGCAAAGAGCGTACCAACTACCGAAAAATCTACAAGCCCAGTCGGACTTTTGAACAACAAATTTGACAAGTCCGCGGCCGATTTTACTGGCCAGGACCGTCGGACTTGTGGCTAAATTCGAAGACTGAGCATTAGAATATATCTCATTTCTATTTGGGCCTGAACCTCAAGTCATGATTCATTGACTCTCATTGTTTTGCATAGTTTAAATGTTAAAGTACAATGTATTGCCATTTTAATATCAACATTTGCAGTTGCTATCAAAATTTCAAACAGTTTATTTTGATTGATGTTTATTTTTTTGTTTGTTTTTATATTCTTAAGTCAATTTTTTTCAGCCCCCAGGACAACAGCAGCAGTATCATGATCCAAACATGCCACAGTCACAGCAGCCTAGTACTCAGATGAGGCCACCTGGCAATATGCCAAATCAGATACCACATCGTAAGTTATATCATACAAAGCAAATATAGAACAGTCACAAAAGTCTAGTACTTAGATGAGGCTACCTGGCAATATGCCAAATCAGATGCCACATCATACATAATTAGATACAAATCAAACATAGCACAGTAGCAGCAGATATGGCCACCTGGCAATATGCCAAATCAGGTGCCACATCTCAAGTAACAGCCTAGAACACAACTGCAATCTTCCAAATGCATTATAAGTTATAAAATAGAAATTAAAGCGTAGCACATTAATAGCAGCCTAGTATTCAGATGTAGCCACATGGCAATGTGCAAAATCAGTTGCCACATCATAAGTAATAACTTATAAATCAAAAAGCACAGCAACAGCAGCCTAGGTTCAGATGTGAAGACCTGGCAATGTGCCTATCATAAGTAATGACATAGAAAACAAAATGTAGCACAGCAACAACATTTGACTACTCAGGTGTTGCCACCTGGCAATGTCAGAAATCAGTTTCCACATCATAGGTAATAACTTTGAAAACAAAAAGCACAGTATCTACTGCCACTTCTGAAGTAACAACATTAAACTGAAACATGCCACATTCATAAATAGCCACCTACATAGATGAGACCTCCTTGTGATATACCTAAACATATGCCATATCTTGGGTAATAACATAAAACCCTAACATACCATAGAAACAACAGTATTTTATTCAGATTAGGTAATTAGGCACTATGGCATATGTTGCAAAAACACAAATTCCAGATCTGGGTAGGAAGAATACACCAAAAGTTCCAAATTTAAACCAAAAAATCCCTATGCATAGCTGTTAAGAATATAAAATATTATGCAAATATTGGTTTTTCAAATTAAAGTTTAAGGATTTGAGATCAACGTAGATTCCAGCTGAATGTTTGTTTTGAATAGAAGAAAAAATATATAAATTGAAATATTTTGACTGTTGCTCTGATGAGAAATTGACCCCGGGGGCATTGAGACACCTTGGTACATAGCACCTTGGTACATAGCACCATGGTACCATCACGACCATACGCAAGTAGTTTTCCTCCTAATCAGGTGTCAATCCTGACATTTTGTAAAATTTTGCAACAGTATGGACCTGAACATGCCACAATTTTTTTTATGAAAACAGCCTATAACTATGTTGAATGAAAACATCTGGTAATATGCCAATTAAGATGCCACCACATATAAATAGGCACAGTAATATGATCTAAGCATACAAATAAATGCCAATATGAAGTGATTTGGTAACAATTGTATTAGTTGATCTAAAATGTTACTTTCCTTGTCAAATGCTAAGACAGTCCCATAATCAAAGTGACAACACACAGATGTTTTACTGCACAGGATAATGTCGAGAAGTTTTGTAGTTTTTTATGTCATACAAATTGACACATTTTCCTAAACATTACTCATATTACAATTAGCCTAAACACAAAATATTGCAACATTCTAGCAGACTACACGAATGAATTTTATTTTTACAGGACATTCGGTCTGGTAAACAACCTAGCTTTACCAGACCGAATGAAATTTTACCAGACCAATTTTGTTTACATCTAATTGTATATTATCCGACAAAATACAACAATCTTATGACTTGTTGTGCCCTACTCCCTGTCCAAAATGCACAAAAACAAAATCACGTGACAAGAGTGTATATTTTGATGAAAGTTGTGCTCAATTGCTTGAATGCATTTCACTGATAAAGAAAATTAATGTCACATTTTATTGGATTTTGACATGAAAATTATTTGTGAACTAAAAATAATTTTGAGTTTTTGTATAAAATATTTCCTGTATCTTCTTTCATTTTCATATATCTTTTGGTTTTCAATTCTAGTGTTTATATTTCATAGCTGTATTTTGTGAACCTGCTTGGATTTTTTTTTTATGTTTCTATTGTATTTGATCGGCAAACCCGGAAATTGACCTTATCCGTTCCCGGAATCTGATCCGGTATTGTTTATATTTCCGGTTGATGGATGCCATTGGGTGCTATAAACAGTTTCGTATAAAAAACTAGGGGTTATTCCCCGACTAAAAATAACCATGGAGGGAAATCCCTTTTTATTCATATAATTGGTGAAAAAGTATCATGTTTTTTGTATTCGATTGTAAAAATTAGTTAATTAGCTTTCAAATTAAACAGGTTGAATGATTAAAATAATTTTAAAAATTAGATTAAATATTCATGTTTTGAGGGGAGACAACACTGTAAACATCCTGTTTTTTTGGCAGTGAAAATTGAAAACTTATTTGCAGCCACTGTAGCTCTTTTCGAAGCAGGAAACCGTACCCTGAAACAAGATTTTTATTAAAGGCCAGGTAAAAACCTATGAATTTCATACAGTTTTGATTATGGGAAATGTGCCTGTATCATGTTTACATGGGTATGCACATGACCTGATTTCAGGTTTTTTATGTTCAGATTAGGCAACTTTTCCCCCATTTTCTCTGGATAGAACTTTTTTACTATATTAAAAGTACAGTATATTTTTATTTCAATATAAACTAGAGAAAATTCTGATTCCAGTAATATCTAGTTTTATACAAGTATCTTTATTAACCATTCCACCACTAAGGGTAACTTAGGCATGGTCCCTTAAAATATGACGTCATAGAAAAAAACTGTTGATTGCACCCTTAAAGGGTCAAACATATAATATAGTGAGGTTTTAGCATAGAAATGTGTTACTGAATGGAGTAAAACAATTCTGAAAAATATCATATGGCATGCATACATTAATTTAAAAGCATCAGTTTGGTATATTTAATGCAAATATTACAGATTTGTACATAGCAACCAGATATAAGAAAACCAGACTGTGTGCAAATTTTGAAGTTTTTTCATCTTTTTGCGACGTCATAATATTTTTATTCACTCTCTCATATATTTGGAACCAAAAGTTGCACATGAAAAGTGTAGATTTTTTCTACTTTGACCTTTACTACTGATCAGTGTAACATACATTTTTATTCATTATATTATATATTTGGTACTTTTTATAGTCAAATAGCTACAAGTGCCGTTCCTAAGAAATACACTATTTCAATATTTTTCTCAACTCAGCTACACCTTAGTTCATATAATACTAGGGACAAAATCTGTTTAAAGTAACTTTATTTATGTTTATTTCATAGTTTTTATTCTATTTATTCAATAGAAACCCAATTTTATGATTTTTTTTCTTTGTATAACTGATGAAAATGTGATACAGGAAATGTTTGGAATATGCCAGTTTAACTATTTGCCACTGGCCAATATGCCAATACTATGCGACATAAAAAATGAGCCGTAGTTTCACTATCGATGGTCGCAATCCTTAAAGTAAGACATCATTTTAATCGATATAATGTACAGATTCAGAAAAGTAGAGAATTTTTTATATATCACATACAAAGTTTTGCTTAAAGGGTCAAACATATAATATAGTGAGGTTTTAGCATAGAAATGTGTTACTGAATGGAGTAAAACAATTCTGAAAAATATCATATGGCATGCATACATTAATTTAAAAGCATCAGTTTGGTATATTTAATGCAAATATTACAGATTTGTACATAGCAACCAGATATAAGAAAACCAGACTGTGTGCAAATTTTGAAGTTTTTTCATCTTTTTGCGACGTCATAATATTTTTATTCATTCTCTCATATATTTGGAACCAAAAGTTGCACATGAAAAGTGTAGATTTTTTCTACTTTGACCTTTACTACTGATCAGTGTAACATACATTTTTATTCATTATATTATATATTTGGTACTTTTTATAGTCAAATAGCTACAAGTGCCGTTCCTAAGAAATACACTATTTCAATATTTTTCTCAACTCAGCTACACCTTAGTTCATATAATACTAGGGACAAAATCTGTTTAAAGTAACTTTATTTATGTTTATTTCATAGTTTTTATTCTATTTATTCAATAGAAACCCAATTTTATGATTTTTTTTCTTTGTATAACTGATGAAAATGTGATACAGGAAATGTTTGGAATATGCCAGTTTAACTATTTGCCACTGGCCAATATGCCAATACTATGCGACATAAAAAATGAGCCGTAGTTTCACTATCGATGGTCGCAATCCTTAAAGTAAGACATCATTTTAATCGATATAATGTACAGATTCAGAAAAGTAGAGAATTTTTTATATATCGCATACAAAGTTTTGCTTAAGGGTGCTATAAACAGTTTCGTATAAAAAACTAGGGGTTATTCCCCGACTAAAAATAACCATGGAGGGAAATCCCTTTTTATTCATATAATTGGTGAAAAAGTATCATGTTTTTTGTATTCGATTGTAAAAATTAGTTAATTAGCTTTCAAATTAAACAGGTTGAATGATTAAAATAATTTTAAAAATTAGATTAAATATTCATGTTTTGAGGGGAGACAACACTGTAAACATCCTGTTTTTTTGGCAGTGAAAATTGAAAACTTATTTGCAGCCACTGTAGCTCTTTTCGAAGCAGGAAACCGTACCCTGAAACAAGATTTTTATTAAAGGCCAGGTAAAAACCTATGAATTTCATACAGTTTTGATTATGGGAAATGTGCCTGTATCATGTTTACATGGGTATGCACATGACCTGATTTCAGGTTTTTTATGTTCAGATTAGGCAACTTTTCCCCCATTTTCTCTGGATAGAACTTTTTTACTATATTAAAAGTACAGTATATTTTTATTTCAATATAAACTAGAGAAAATTCTGATTCCAGTAATATCTAGTTTTATACAAGTATCTTTATTAACCATTCCACCACTAAGGGTAACTTAGGCATGGTCCCTTAAAATATGACGTCATAGAAAAAAACTGTTGATTGCACCCATTGTTGTTTTTGTCAGTCAGATATGTTTTTATTCGGATTTACACATTACGTGTATGCAATTTTCGGCATAAAGCTAGCGGTTGAACAAAATAAACATCGCTGTCATGAATAATAAAGATGAGAATGAATTTTGAGATCGTTTGGGAATTTTGCTCCCAATATTGGGAAAAATGTAGGGTTTTTAAAAAAATCCACGAAAAAAACAACACCGGACATTCGGACCGGAATTCAACAAAATTTTACCAGACCGATCCATTATTCACCAGATTTGTCCGACGGTCCGACGTATTTCGTGTAGTCTGATTCTAGTACTTTTACTGCTGAAGAAGGTATGCATACATTTTTACTGTACATTGTATAGATTATTAGATACTTTGTAAATTGAAATGAGTAAATTTGTCTGATGATAAGGATTTTAACTCTTAAATACAACTTCTTTATATTGCAAGGGGACACCGCAGGTGGGAGTCAGATACCAGCTCAACAAGGTAGTTACCAGCAACAAGGAAGCAGTGCTCCTAACATGCCTGGATCTGGAGGGTACCAGTCAAGACCAATGCCAAGTCAGCAACAAGGGGGACCAATGCCACAACAAATGGCACCACAAGGTGGATCCATGGCACAATCTATGCCTCCACAGGCTGTCTATAGTAAGTTTTATATTATTTTTGGTAGACTGATGTTTGACAACTTAAAGTAAATAACTTTTAACATGTCCACATTTTAATAAGTCTATGTTTTTTCTGTTTACTATTAAACACACTGTGTGTTTCATATTGTGTAAAAGTCAGCCTCTATATGAAAGTACGTCTTTAGGTCTCATTTATACAATGGATGCAAGGATTGATTTCTGAATGTTATGCATAGAGATATATGCTGCACATCAAAATTTACCTGTTATAACATGTACTGTAGATTCATTCATTATTAATCATTGAATACCAATTTTTCTTGGATTTTCGTGGTTACAGAGGTTCTACGAATTTAAATATTCATCAAATTACAAATTTTCAATAGGAATGTATGTATTAATTTTTAAAACCTAAAAAATCAAATATATGAGAAGTTTACCTCAATCTGAATAAATTGGTAACCACGGAAACAAAAGAATCTACATTGTACAGTATAAGCAGTATCATATTTTGATTTTTCCAGTATTTCCCACTATGCTGGCAATACTCATAAAACTCTGGTTTTTGCCAACCCTAATGATTATTATGTTCACATCAAATTTGTGTCTACAATAACAATCAAGTATATGATGATGACAAAATCCATCAAGTTACAAATTTTCTATACATGCTATAGGAATGTGTGCATTAATTTTTAAAACCTCAAAATCAAATATCCATGAACATGATGAAAATGCAAGTTTACTCCAATCCACTAAAATTGGTAAAACGGAAATAAGTGAATCCATGTAGTATAAGCAGTATCATATTTTGATTTAACATCATTCAGAATTAAATTAATGATGTGCTTTTTTTAGCTTAAAAATATATAAATATAAGATTTAAAAGTAGATTTTTATGAGTATTAAGAGATAATTAAATAAATGAATATTTTTAGAAGCAGGAGTCATTCCTATACCTAAGAGTAAAAATATAAATGTATCATTAGTTTCGCCTGTGACAAAGTTGCAGAATGCGATACATAGGGATTACAATCTGGGGACAGTGTAAAACATTTGTTTAAAGCTTATTATGAGTAATAGAATAACTATATTTCGTATATGGATTCCTTGCAAGGTCTAAATGTCTGTCAGACAGGGTTCACCTGACCTGGACCTCATTTCTTTAATCAGTGATCAAGGTTAAGTTTTCATGGTCAAGTCTGTATCTCAGATACTATGATCAATAGGTCAACTATATAATGGTGTATAGAACAATTGAAAGGTGTATATGTTCGTCTGGCAGGATTCATCTGAACTTGACCTCATTTTAATGGTTCATTGGTCAATGTTAAATTTTCATGTTTTTTTCTGTTCATCAAATACTATAAGCAATCGGTCGACTATATTTGGTGTATGAAATGATTGTAAAGTGTGCATGTCTGTTTGGCAGGATTCATCTAACCTACCTTGACCTCATTTACATTGATCATTGATAATGTTGATTGTACTTGAAACTTATAGTAAAACCTTCAAATTACACACTTTCAACATAAATTCAATCATGATAAGTAAAGCAAGTGAGGCATTGCAGGGTGTGCACTTTTGTGGTATCTTTTACAACTTTAGGATATGCATTGTATTTTAAGCAAATAACAAGCAATCATTGAATCTTTTATGAATAAAAAGAAGATGTTGGCTAAATATGTCAATGAGACAACATTGCAACCCAATGCCAAAAGTAACCAAAAGAACTTGTCTGCAATGATAGACAGGTGTCAATACACTACATGTATGCGAAGCTTTAAATTGTCCTGAGTCTATGAATATGATAAAAGTGAATAAATTTAACAGAAACATTCAAAGATTAACCATTAACTCCCAATTCTTTAAAAGAAATCACATGTAATTAATTGCTTTAATATTCTTAATAGTAATACTAGTTAATAAATTTTTAAAAAATCTATTACTTGGCTTCATGTTGTTACAGTTTGACCAATTTAGACAGCATGGCAATTCAATAGATTTTAGGGACGATTATGTTTATATATCTTATTGATAAAGCTTTTCACATTTGTCTATGTCAGTATGTGTCTTCATGTATGTCTTAGAGTTGCAGGACCAATACTTTCTCAGATTTATACACTTTGCAAATGTAAAATTAGAGTCTCAAACAAGTGAACTTACTACAAATGTATGTCTTATTTATACTCTTTAAGATTCAGGTCAGTATTTCATATTACCCAGTATAACCTGGTATAACCAAATAAAACCTTGGTTGTCTCAGTTTTTCCCACTGGGTTGGGCAATACTCATAAAACTCAGGTTTTTGCCAACCCTGATAATTATTATGTTCACATCAAAGGACAAGGTTCACTTTAGGCCAAATACTGCCTTTAAAATTCAACCTTTATCTTAAGATTTCAAAATGGCCATAATTTAGTTCTTAAATGGATCTGTTTCAAAACCATTACTACTAAGTTTAAAAAGTCTCTTCATAAAAGTACATTTTAGGCTTCAAAGTCAGCACATTTTGGATAAATTGTCAAAAAACAACGATTTTGTGCATGTTTTGGATATAAAAGCTTCAGGAAACCCATGGCCGCAACCTAGGATCCAAAATGTTCTGTAGCCAAAAGTTGCCAATGATTATAGTGAATCCCTAGACACAAACACTTTCTGGATCAGGGGTGGCAGCCAAACTAAATTATGTTTAAACAGTTAAGAATTATTGAAAATTTGACCAAAACTGACGTTACAACACAAATAATGCATACTTGAGGGTTCATTTCATCATCATTTTTAATGTGATGTGCCAAAAGAAGTTATTTTGTATTAATCATGTTAATAGTTATATCACAACTATTTCTTTGTGAAATTTGTAGTATTTTGGCCTGATTAAAAAAACAGGCCCATCAAATTCTTAGGGCCAATTTTAACCCTTTGTGAACTTACTCCTTTGTGTCTACAATAACAATCAAGTATATGATGATGACAAAATTTTAAACTAAAAACATGAATTTACAATATGGCGCTGATGGTACCAGCCTAAACTATTTGAATAAAGCTTTTAATTTCAGGGGGTAGAAGATCAAGACACTTTATACCTAATGCCTTTTGGGGTTCTGTGTCCACAGTGATTTTCTGATTTGACAACCCTAAGAATCCCTTATCAAGCCCTATTAACTCCTTGCAGTTAAAATTTTAACAATACCTTTTGGTATAGAATATGTCATTGAGACAGCAACCCTACAATACAAATAACCAAAAAACATTTATATATATTAGAACAAATTTGGTTGGCAAATATACATGTGTTTTCTCTAACATTATCTTATGCAATTTTAGACCAGTCTCAGTCTGGAATGGGTAATCAGCCATATGGAATGCAACAAGGTAACTTTAGTAACCAGCAGCAGCCAATGATGTCTCAATCACAACAAATGATGCCGCAACAGCAACAGCCCATAATGTCACAGCAACAACCCATGATGTCGCAGCAACAACCCATGATGTCACAACAACAGCCTATGATGTCACAACAACAGCCTATGATGTCACAACAGCCAATGATGTCACAGCAACAGCCTATGATACCACAACAACAGCCAATGATGTCACAAGGTCAAATGATGCCTGGTCCTAGTAGCTCACAAGGGGGACCAACAATGAGTCAAGGTCAAAGATCATCAATGCCGATGCCATCTGGCTATAGGAGAGGACCATCTCAAGGTAGTATGAATAAGAGAAATGTAAAACTTAAATATTGTTACTGTATTTGGTCGTGTCTAGTACACACTTTTTACCAAGATATATAGTAGGTATTATGGGGATGCATATTACACACATTTATCATGTTTATAGACAATATTTTTTTGTTTTTTTTTTTAATAAATAATGAGGTTGTTTCTTCATTACTGTATATTCAAGGTGTTTTTTTTTTTATTATAATGCAAAAAACATCTGGTTTGTTTTCCCCTGCCGCAACATGGTGCAGGGGACATTGAAACTCATATTTTGTACGTCTGCTTTTGGAAGCATTGTTGTGTCTTGCCAGATTATTATGAAATGTACATCTTAAGTTTATACCAGAAATGTCTTGTATAAGTTCTAAAAATCAGTGCCAATCAATTATCTGATTATTACTAATTTTGCAAAATACAAAATTGGCATCCTATAGTATATGTATATTCCCTGTTTAGTCCACACTTCTCAGATTTAGGTGTTTTAAGGAAATTTTCAATTGGAATATAATCACTTGTCATGCTTGTCTGTTTAATTTTCATCTGATATGAATTAAACTTGAACTTTCTAATGTTACAATGTGTTACAGGGAGTGAAATATCATTATTTTGTTGAATGCTTTGTAGGTCAGTATGGTCAACAAGGTTACCAAGGTAACCAGTTTGGAAATCAACAGGGATCTTTTCCTCAAGGCGGGCAACAGAATTTTCAACAAGGTCAAGGTTACAATCAAACTCCTAACATGCCTAATCAACAGTACAGTGGGCACCAGGGACAGGATCCACGGTTTGCCATGTATAATAGAGCACCAGGTCAGATACCACAAAGTCAGGCGTCAATGGGAGGGCAGATGCAGAATCAAAGTATGATGAGTGGATCTGCCCCACAGAAAATGCCTAGTCAGGGGTCAATGGGTCCAACAGGAAGTCAGATGGGTTCTCAGAGTAACATGGCAGGACAGGCAAACCTGATGCCGAATCAGATGTCTGGACAAGGACCATCTGGACCTCCAATGCAGGGTCCCAGTCAAATGGGAGGTCCTAATCCTAGTCAGATGGACAATCCGATGTCACAAAGTCAAATGGGAAATCAGATGCCTCAAGGACAAATAGGAAATCAAATGCCTCCACTAGGACATCCTCAAATGGGAGGTCAGATGCCTCAAGGTCCAATGAATCAAGGACAAGGTCAGATGGGTAGTCAGCCTAGTTTTCCTTTCAATCAAAATCAGTTTTAGATATATGGATCTATCATTGGAAAGTAATGATCAGTTTCCACTTAATTCAGAATTGATTACTCAAAAGCAGGACAGAGGAGAGGGATTTTGTGACATAACCTTAGGAAAAAAATTTAAACCCCTTTCAAAGTAAGCATCTTGTATTCGCTATCCTGCTTCAGAGATAATGTTAAGTACATGAAACTATATTAGTAATGGGTCCTAAATTCATCAGTCAATTTTGTTGCAAAAGATGTCATCATTATGCATTTGTTTTATCTTAGTTTTAGGCCTACCTTCAGGCTTTGGGAATGTCTGAACACCTTTTTGTTTTATTCGAGAGCTGAGTTTTGTTTAAAGAATATATTCTGACATTGGAAATGGATATGAAAATTCAACAGTCAATAAGTAGTAGAGAATTTTTTTTAATTAATTTTTTTCCTGTGAAGAGAATATTTTACAAACCCCATAATATGCATAATGTATTACATTCAAGATGTTGACTAGGAAACTAAGGTCCAAAAAGGTTTAAAAATGTCTATGGTTGTAATATTATTAAACTATGGATACCAATTAATACTGTCAAATGATTATGTATTAGAAAGATCACATGACATTTCCTTATATACAGTGGATTTTGACCTTCACATTGCACTGAATAGTAGTTATAATTTATAAAGAAGAACATGAAGAGAATATGATAGTTGAGGTTTTCAGTTAATAGAACGGTCTGATAGCTTTTAGATACGAGTTTAAAATTCAGGCCTTTTCCATTTAAATGTGAATAGGACTAAGAGATGAGATCATTTTTAAGCAGTATGAATTAAAATTCATGAATTTTTAGGCATTTTGTTAAATACCTTAAAAGTAAATAGCTTTTATGTGTTTTCAATGTCTTGATTATTCTTGTAATATAATTTGAGTGCCTTTACTTGTTATCTCTACTTCCTATACCAGCTTAAACTTTCGAAAAGAAAGGCAAATTGTATCTAAAAAAAAATATTTTATTTTTTTTATGCAAGTTCAACTTTTTTTACCTAATACTTTTGTATTTTATACCTTTCCAAGTAAATAGGATTTCTGTTTATTAGAAATTATTTGTGATTGATTGTCCTTCATAGTATGTAATCATTCAAACACATTCAGGAGAAGAAAATGTTAATTTATTATCAATATGGACCTTGTTTTACACTTAATTGAGCCAGATTTTCATACTAGCTCCTGTTGTAATATTCTCCACCAAAAGACAGTTTCCAGATTGATTATGAATATGGACCTTGTTTTACACAAAACTAAATGCTGTGTTCACATGCTCAACAGAGAAGAAGCAGATTCCACATGTTCCAGTTTTCAAATATTTTAGTTTGACTTAGCCATGGCTTATTTGGCTCATGAGTAGAGTCAAACCTAGGAACCAGTTATTATTTAAATTCTGTTATTTTAAGTATGATAAAGAGATGTCTGAAAATGTCTTTTTTGAGCTGATTGATATTATTAACTTGTTTTAAGAAACAGTTTCAGTATTTTTAATGTTATGAAAATCTTCAAGGTTGTAATATGTAAAATGTTTTCTTTGTTCATCTTTAAAGCTAATTTATCATATTACAACGAATTTAAAACATGCCAAAAAATCAAAGAACTGTGAAATTATCATTTTGATGTACATGTAAATTATTGATTTTTAATGCATTTATTACTTTAAATGGATTATTGTCAGCACAAGTTTCTAGAATGAATTGAAACATGAAGAGGACTTATTTTATGCCTCACTGCTGATAGAAGGGGGCATTATGTTTTCTGGTCAGTTTGTCATTTCATCAGTTAAAAACAAGTCATCCAATTGGGGTGCACAATAAGTAACCATTGGAATAACAAGTTTTTTTAAATATTAATTCTACCAAACTCAACAAATATGTAGTTAATAAAAAAAGTCCAGCATTATGATTATGTCTTCTGTCTCTTTGTTTCATTAGAATCAGAGCCATTTAGCTGAGACCTTCAGTACCCCTACCTTTTCATATATGTATTGTATACTGGGTTGTCTATTTTGCCTGTTCCATAAAACATACATGGTACCCAGGATAGGGCACTTTTAAAATGGGGTAACCACCTATAGAGGTAAATTTAGAATTTCACTTATATTTACACTGTTCCATATTGTACTTGACACCCACAAAGATGAATTTACAAAGCACCTACATTTGGTCCCATATACAGTTTAATGGAGCAGCCCTAAATACAGAAACTTAATGAAATATATTAAACTACCATGATGTAAAAAGTAACATATGATTATGATAAGAACAATGTTAGTCTTTGTTTAATGTGTATGGAGTTTGTTTTTTATTGATCAGTAGTTTTTCTTTTAAAAAGTGTTGAAAGATGATAAATCTTGTATCTGAAAATGATTTGCTTTCTAAGTTATCCTTTGTTGATATTGTGTTAGATTTGATACAGGTCATATTGATCTCATTGATAATTTTGATCTGTTTAATGAGTTGTTGATATTAATTGTATATAATTTAAATGTTTGTTACAAAATGTACATCTTTAATAATATGTTTGTAGTTTTGTAAAAAGAAAATAATTCAAGCTTCTTAGTTAAATTGACAGCTGTCCTTTTCTGCCATCTCTCAGTGTATGAAGACTTTTGAGAGTCAATAGTCGTGCACGTTTGTTACTTGTTACTTTTTTACTTTAAAAATTACCTGGAAAATTATCTTAATGCACCACGGTAGCAATTTTTGTAAAACCCATCTTTTGATACAATCCTATTTCAAAAAAGTTAGCGGGTGATAATCACATAAACTTGTAGGTATAATTTGCATAGATTTGTCTTATATTAAGATTTGATTTATGTGACAATAATGGCAAGATTTTTTCAGTTGTAGCCAAGACTACCAAATATTTGTTATCTTAACTTATTGCTCAAGGAAAAAATCTGAATGGCATGGACTTAGTAGACAGTATTGTGTAATTGGTTATGGTTTTTATACGACCGCAAAAAAATTTTTGTGGTCGTATATTGGTATGACGTTGGCGTTGTCGTCGTCGTCGTCCGGCGTCGTCGTCCGAAGACACATTGGTTTTCGCACTCTAACTTTAGTTTAAGTGAATGGATCTCTGTGAAATTTTACCATAAGGTTCAATACCACAAAAGGAAGGTGGGGATTGATTTTGGGGGTTATGGTACTAACAGTTAAGGAATTAGGGGCCAAAAATAAGCATTTTTTAGTTTCCAGACAATAACTGTGGAACGGTGTATGGATCTCTCTGAAATTATACTACAAGTTTCCATACCACAAAGGGATGGTTAGGATTTGCTTTGGGGGGTTATGGCTCAAACCGTTTAAGAATTAGGGGCAAAAAAGGGGGGAAAACAAGGTTGTCCTGGTTAATGGACAAATACTTTAGTACAAAACATAATTTAAAGCAGTGTAAGGGAGATAAATCAAATACATCATTGAAATTATCTCCCTTACACTGCTTTTAAAGTAATGGTTAATGAACAATTAAGATAATTTAAAACAGTGTAAGGGAGGTAATCCAAATACAACGTTTTGGTTACTTCCCTTACACTGCTTTTAAATTATGTTTAAAGAAATGCATATTTATAAAGGAAGACCAGTAAAAATATCTGCAAATGTTGCATCTTTTTTTTTACAAAAAAATCCATATGAAAGATTTGACACTATATTTTAAATTCTATTATAAAATTGATTAAGTTAGCACTATGGTAAATTTAAATGGGTAATTATGGTTGCAAATTCCATTGGAAATTTGAATTGAGATTATGACCATATATTGAGGGAAAGAATTTTTTGGGGGAAAAAAAAGGGGGGGGGGGGAAAGAAATTGTGGGGGGTCAATTTTTTCTCATTTCAGATTTCAGAAATTAAAAAGAATTATTCTTCAAATATTATTTTTTTTTCAAATTTCAAATATTGAAAAATTTCAAGAAGTAATCTTTAATTGCACAGTATGGCGCATTAGATTTGTAAAATCTTTGACCACATTTATTTATTTGTTATGCCGAATCTAACCGTGTATTTAGATTTTTAATTTTGGGTCCAGTTTTCAAATTGGTCTACATTAAGGTCCAAAGGGTCCAAAATTAAACTTTGTTTGATTTTAACAAAAATTGAATATATGGGGTTCTTTGATATGCTGAATCTAAACATGTATTTAGATTTTTGATTTTGGGCCCAGTTTTCAAGTTGGTCCAAATTGGGGTCCAAAATTAAACTATGTTTGATTTCAACAAAAATTGAATATATGGGGTTCTTTGATATGCTGAATCTAACCATGTATTTAAATTTTTTATTTGTGGACCCCGCTATCAAATTGGTTCATATTGAGGTCAAAAGGGTCCAAAATTAAACTTTGTTTGATTTTATCAAAAATTGAATTATTGGGGTTCTTTGATATGCCAAATCTAACCGTGTATTTAGATTTTTAATTTTGGGTCCCGTTTTTTAAATTGGTCTACATTAAGGTCCAAAGGGTCTAAAATTAAACTTAGTTTGATTTTAACAAAAATTGAATTCTTGGGGTACTTTGATATGCTGAATCTAAACATGTGTTTAGATTTTTGATAATGGGCCCAGTTTTCAAGTTGGTCCAAGTTGGGATCCAAAATTAAACTTTGTTTGATTTCAACAAAAATTGAATATATGGGGTTCTTTGATATGCTGAATCTAAACATGTATTTAGATTTTAGATTTTTGGTCCAGTTTTCAAGTTGGTCCAAATTGGGGTCCAAAATTAAACTTAGTTTGATTTCAACAAAAATTGAATATATGGGGTTCTTTGATATGCTGAATCTTACCATGTATTTAGATTTTTTATTTGTGGGCCCGCTATCAAATTGGTTCATATTGAGGTCAAAAGGGTCCAAAATTAAACTTTGTTTGATTTCATCAAAAATTGAATTATTGGGGTTCCTTGATATGCCAAATCTAACCGTGTTTTTAGATTTTTAATTTTGGGTCCCGTTTTTTAAATTGGTCTACATTAAGGTCCAAAGGGTCCAAAATTTAACTTAGTTTGATTTTAACAAAAATTGAATTCTTGGGGTACTTTGATATGCTGAATCTAAACATGTGTTTAGATTTTTGATTATGGGCCCAGTTTTCAAGTTGGTCCAAGTTGGGGTCCAAAATTAAAACTTTGTTTGATTTCAACAAAAATTGAATATATGGGGTTCTTTGATATGCTGAATCTAAACATGTATTTAGATTTTAGATTTTTGGTCCAGTTTTCAAGTTGGTCCAAATTGGGGTCCAAAATTAAACTTTGTTTGATTTCAACAAAAATTGAATATATGGGGTTCTTTGATATGCTGAATCTTACCATGTATTTAGATTTTTTATTTGTGGGCCCGCTATCAAATTGGTTCATATTGAGGTCAAAAGGGTCCAAAATTAAACTTTGTTTGATTTCATCAAAAATTGAATTATTGGGGTTCTTTGATATGCCAAACCTAACCGTGTTTTTAGATTTTTAATTTTGGGCCCCGTTTTTTAAATTGGTCTACATTAAGGTCCAAAGGGTCCAAAATTAAACTTAGTTTGATTTTAACAAAAATTGAATTCTTGGGGTACTTTGATATGCTGAATCTAAACATGTGTTTAGATTTTTGATTATGGGACCAGTTTTCAAGTTGGTCCAAGTTAGGGTCCAAAATTAAACTTTTTTTTTTTTGTTTGATTTCAACAAAAATTGAATATATGGAGTTCTTTGATATGCTGAATCTAACCATGTATTTTGATTTTGGACATTGGACCATGATAGGTAAATTAAAAAAAATTAAAGTTCTTAGACCAGATTCTTTCTGTGTCAGAAACCTATGCTGTGTCAAATATTTAATCACAATCCAAATTCAGAGCTGTATCAAGCTTGAATGTTGTGTCCATACGTGCCCCAACTGTTCAGGGTTCGACCTCTGCGGTCGTATCAAGCTGCGCCCAGCGAAGCATTTTATTATAGTAGTTTTTGTAAATCTCTGTTAGAATGTGAATGGAATCCTATGTATAACATTTATATATTGTATTTTTGAGTGGAAGAGTGATGTCCCTTATTAGTGTGATGGAGCTGATCTACATACCTTGTACAGAATTAGAACGTGAATTGACTAATAAAACACTACGGTTTGAATTCAAATCAAAATATACATAAGAAGGTGAAATGACTTATAAAACATTACGGTTTGAATTCAAATCAAAATATACATTTCTGTTTCTTAAAAATACATTTCTGTTTTTTAAACATTCCAGTAGCTCTTTTCACACAAAAAAAGTTATGACTAAAATGAATTGTTTGCGACTTTAAAGTAATTTTTATTTCCAAGATCTAATTATGAAAATGGCAATAGTGTTGTCAGAATGTTTGGCTTCTTTAAATGAAATTTTTTTTTAGAAAAGAACTAAGAGTCCACTTTGTTTAGGATTTTAGTTGTTGTTATTGACAGATTGATTAAAATATGATAAGTGATATACTACTTGTCAATCACATTAAAGTTTTCACAGTGTTGTAACACAAATATCAACTTTTTATGCACAGTTTGGATTTAATCTGAAAGCTGTAAAAAAAAAAAATGAAGTGAAATATGTAGTGTTGTGTACCATTGACTGTTGTACAAATAAATAATGATTTATTTTCACTTTGTAAAGGATGTGTTGGAGAGTCTGGAGGCACTTCAGCTTCATACAATACAGTTACAGGAAAGATAATGACATTGCTAACATAAAATGTTATTTTTCACGACGTCAAACTGGGACATATCAGGGAAAAGATGCATTTTTCTACTGATTTTAATCATTAGTTTGAAAACAAGAACATGGACCCCACTTTTTAAAAATGACATTAGGCTTGATTAAGTATGAAAATTATTTGTACCAATTTTCATGAACAAATCACCAATGGAATTTTTTTGAATTAGATAAATTTACAGCAAAAATGCTGGTATTTTTTTTCCCAAAATCATGAAAATTTTAAAAATGAATTATATTCAAAGAATTGATCCAAAAAATCACAGCATATTTATGCAAAGAAGATATTCCATATGTTTTTACAAAAATCTGCTTGTGTTTACATTTTGAAACTAAAAAATTTGGTATGTCTCTCCAAAGGATAGAAATATCCAGGAAACCGAAATTTTGAGGAATGTCTAAATTTTGACCCCATTTATTTTTAAAAGTAACACATGAAGGTATAAGTTTTATTACATATTTGAATTGTGTAGGTAAAAAATAACTTGTATACAAATGTCAAAAATTCACCGTCGGATCAAAACTGTATCGTATGCCCTTAAAGGAGAACGTGCAAATAAGAAATGAATTGGGCAAACTTTCATTTAATATCTTAACATTTTGAATTATGTAAAGTTTCAATCTGTTATATTGAAAACGTAAAGCTGTTGATTGACTTTAGAATAAAAAATTCAATTAACAAAATCAAAACGATAAAACACTTGTTCACAAAACATCATTTTCCTGTGCAGTGTGAACACAGTCTAAGCGTTTTTTATGGTATGTTGCAAACACTTATTTTCAGTTGAGGTCATTGGGCAGTGCATTTGATGAGTTTCAGATTTAAAACTAAATTATCATATTTTTATAAAAGGTTGGTTAGTTGACTTCATTAGTCAATCTTTTTAGAAATATCAATGTGAAGACAATCCAATTTTGAAATTTTTCAATGAACAATCACTTCATATATTTTTTTTAACTGCCTTTAAACAGCAGAATCATTTTAATGTTGTCAGATGGTAGTATATTTTGTTGTGAAATGGATTGAAGGTATCTTTCATATTGAAAATGACAAACATATTGGTCTGATGGAAGAAAAAGTTTTATGATTGATTTTAATAGATTGTTAGTCAAATAGATGTGATCAGCTAAAAGTGAAAAGTTTAAATCTTTTACCATGAAAAGTTATTTGAACATTCCTGATTTATGAATGAATGTGTAGCATGGAAAAGTTTTGAAGGGCAAGATTTGTACATAGAATAATATTTCAAAGAAAAGGTGCTTTTTGTTGTGAAATATATTAATGTTTGTAGAAAAAAATAATAAATTGTCTTACAGACTGCTCTGTGTTCCATTTCTTTAATTCATACATCATCAATATTTATTATACAGTTGCACCCCATCTGGCCTTGGAGTCATGTTTTGTTTAATCCTGTTGTGTGTCCATTATATACAATTGATTTATTATCTTTCTTGACACATGATGGTAAACAATTCTACCAAGAGATTTCTGTAACATGGTCGCAGATGAGTTTCGTTTTCAAAGTGTCATTGTGGTACAATAGTGAAAAATAATGGTAAAATTCTGGTAACTTCAGTATAAATGGTCAAACCAAAAAAGAGGGTCAACTACACATGATGGGGAAACATTCTGACTAACTATGAGAGCTTTCTGTTTAATGGTTGCAGAGAAGTTGGGTTTTAAAAAGGTCATTGTAATGAAGTATTATAGTCCAAAATATGGTCTATAAGTACCATAACTTTCTTAAAAATTGTCAAATCAAAATGATATGGTATACTATGGTCAAGAGAAGATGCAGACATGTAATCCTACCAAGTATACCAAATTTTTGTCATAATCTTCTGAATATTGTTGTATATAAGACAGACATACAGATGAAAACTGTTAGCTATAGGGGACAATATGAGTGTCCATTGATTTATCATGCATCAGTGACCCTCAATTTATAACTATATTTAAGTTTTCAGATTAGATGTTGTTCACTGTGTAGTTCTTATACCAGACCATATCTATTTTGTGTTCTATTGCATAACCATTGTAACATTTCACTTTCCATGAAAATATGAGGCTATGCTTGCTAAGTCATGCTTCAAGTTGGGAGATGGTGGTTGCCTACAGAAAGGGCATAAAAAAAACAACTGGCAATGGAATTATGTCATTTATAACCCCTGTATTTCTTTATTAACAATATAAACCTGTATCAAATCAGACTAAAACAATGTTGTACTTGGCATGCAATACATTCAGACAGAAGAGTGAAGATCTGTAGACTCAAGTCAAAATAAAGGGATCATAAAAAAAATTTCTTAACATTTTGAATTATATTAAGTTTCAAAACAAGTTATAAATGGAAGATAACCAAATATACTTACTTCAATATACATGTACTTTGTTATCCTGGAAACAGACCAGTATGTGCATGTAGGTATGTTATATGATAGCTGAATTCTACATGCATTTGCTATTTGTATCCCTTCGTGGGTTCACTCAAAGTTGTAGGTTTTAAAATCATTAATTGGAAATGGTCACCTAATATTTGAATGGACCATTCTCACTACACATGATGCCCCAACTAAAAGAAGATAATTCCTCTGATTTTGTAGTTGCTTAAAACTGGAATTGATGCAACCCTTTACCACAGCTATGTATGCATGTACCGTAGGTATTCGTATGCATCAACTAACCCCGCCGCATTTTTGCGCCTGTCCCAAGTCAGGAGCCTCTGGCCTTTGTTAGTCTTATCATTTTTAATTTTAGTATGACGTCCATTATCACTGAACTAGTATACATATTTGTTTAGGGGCCAGCTGAAGGACACCTCCGGGTGAGGGAGTTTCTCGCTGCATTGAAGACCCATTGGTGGCATTCGGCTGTTGTCTGCTCTATGGTCGGGTTGTTGTCTCTTTGACACATTCCCCATTTCCATTCTCAATTTAATACAATGAAAGTCTAAGTATTCGAAGTTTAGTTTAGATAATTTAATGCAATGAATACATTGAGAAAAGATCATTCCTATTTGATTTATAGTTTTTTTCAATTTAGGTATCCATGCAAAGCCTAACCAAAGCTATTCATTCCTAAAATGAACGTTAAGGTATCTTGAATCTGTATAAGTTTCATTCCTATCATTCAAGGGAGAATCAAAGACCAGCCGGCAACTATTAGTTTAGGACATACTGACAGTACAGACAAAGCTATTAATACCTACTGTATGCTCATGAATTTTTTTCAGGAGCATAATAAAAGTCACCTATTTTATTGCAAGTTTCATGACTTAATATAATGCATCAACTAACAATGCGATGATTCCTCTATATGTAGTTACTTATAACTTTATTAAATGCAAACCTTAAAGCCATTAATGCATGAAATGAAGGTCAAGGTGACTAAATTTCAGTATGGACCTTTCTACCTAAATATGATTCAACGACTGATATTCCTCTAAACGAACATTTGACTGGTAAAAAGATAACCACTACCAAGGTTAATGACTTAAGACAGCTCTTATAAAGCATTGATTGAGTGTTGATTGCTTAATGTCCAGAAATATTAACTCCTATAAACATGCATATTCATTTTGCTGCAAGAGTCTCTGTGACTCAGTGGTTCAACTATATATAGCTATTACAGTGGTCACCTCTTAAAAGTTGCGAGTTTGAACTATGCTTAAAGCGAGGTGTAAAAAACTTGGATCAAGTCGACAATGTTTAGCAAAAAAAGTTCAGCAGTTCTCTCCTGTACTCAGACTTCCGTAGCCCAAAAAAACTTATCACCTTAATATAGCCAAGGGCACTGAAAGTGGCATAAAATACAATCAAACAAATGAAGCGTGTAAGAATTTTTTGTACAACTTTGTTGAAGGTTTTATCTAATGCTCAGACCTTTAGCCTGAATCTTAAGAAGGATTTTGCCTCCCAACATGCCCAAGCATTGGACAATGTTAAATGAATATCAACCTTGGGCAACTGACCTTGAAATTACATAGTTTGTAGCCAATTCATCATAAAAGGATTGACCCAAGTACCTTGAAAAATCTTCTATTTTAATAAATTGTGTTTCAAGACAAAGAAACTAAAAGAATAAATGATTTAAACTGTTTTATATATTCTTTCAATGCTAAACCTAATACAAAATTAGAGAGATGATTCAATTAATATACAATGATAACAAATATGAAACAACACTCCATTACATTGTGGTATTTCTGAGATACAGATCATTAAGATGTAGCATGCTGTAATATATCATTATATGTATTGATAAACTAACATGTAAATTTGTTAATGAGACACCAACTCAGCAGGAGAAGTCAGTCAACAATAAATATCTTTGTCACATACAATTATAAACTGTCTTTCAAATTATGTATCATCAACAATGCATTTTCTGAATGTTTTAGCAAAGCCTGGGCTATTAACGGCTCAGTTGAAATTAATAGCTATTCAGCTACAATAAAATATCTCTGAAACAAATAATTCTCAAAGAGTAACATTCAGTCCTTTAAACTGAGAATTGCTTATTATGTAAATTGCAGAGCTGCCAAATAATAACATATACCTATATGGCCTACAATGATTGGCATACATCACATATTCTATATCAATACATATAATGATCAATCAACACCTTTGTCTTAAACAAATACAGTAGATAATGCATAATTCTGTTATATGTGTAAATATATCAATATGGTTACACAAGGAAATCTCAAAGCTCCTTTATCTTAATGAAAGTTTTATTAGGAATTTTGCATGTGAACATGTATTTGTAATTATATTTATAAAGACACTCATAGCTTATATTTCCAACAACTAGCGGTGGTCATGAAAATTCAAATAAAATATTGCTATTTCTTCTTATTATCTTGAAGCAACAAGCATAAGGACAGGGACATAGTGAAACTCATAATAAAAGCTCACAGGCATGTTAGGCTGACTGAAAGTGTCATCAAATGATTTAGAAATTAACTCTCAACATAGTTCTTTAAAGGAAAACTTAAATTTATCAGACCAGAAATCATTGTGATTCTCACGCAAAACAGTTCGGGATTCTGTGTATCTAAATATAAAAAAAAATATTAGTTTTTGAGCACAATAAAGCAGATGAGGCTGTTAGCCTTAAAAATATTCATCTTTTGGTACTTATTACTTCATGTTAGCATCTTCATTATCAACTATTTCATACAGTAAAAGTTTACAACTTCTAGTGAAATAAATTTAAATCTTTATACAAGGACATTAATGAGTATAAAAATAAGAAGATGTGTTATGACTATGATTGCCAATGAGACAACTATCTACATGGGCATTAATTTTTGTTGATATAGGTGTCTGTAAAGGCTTTGTGTTCATAACACTATTATGTAAGTATGGCTATTGTCCCAAAAGAAATACAATATTGTATTGTTATTTGTTATTTATAGTATTTCTTTACAGTATTTACAAACAATGTTAGTTTTTGACAGTCATGACATTATAATTTTTTTCAAATCCTATAAGCTGCCATATTTCTTTAATACAAAAAAAATAAAATGCTCCGCAGGGCGCAGCTTGATACGACCGCAGAGGTCGAACCCTGAACAGTTGGGGGAAGTATGGACACAACATTCAAGCTTGATACAGCTTTGGATTTGGATTGTGATTAAATATTTGACACAGCATAGGTTTCTAACACAGATTGAATGTGGTCTAAGAACTTAAAAATTTTAAATTGGACATTCACCTATTACGGTCCAATATCCAAAATCTAAATACATGGTTAGATTCAGCATATCAAAGAACCCCAAGAATTCAATTTTTGATGAAATCAAACAAAGTTTAATTTTGGACCCTTTTGACCTCAATGTGGACAAAGTTGATAACGGGGCCCAAAAATCAAAAATCTAAATACATGGTTAGATTCAGCATATCAAAGAACCCCATATATTCAATTTTTGTTGAAATCAAACAAAGTTTAATTTTGGACCCCGATTTGGACCAACTTGAAAACTGGGCCCATAATCAAAAATCTAAATACATGTTTAGATTCAGCATATCAAAGAACCCTAAGAATTCAATTTTTGTTAAAATCAAACTAAGTTTAATTTTGGACCCTTTGGACCTTAATGTAGACCAATTTGAAAACGGAACCAAAAATTAAGAATCTAAATACACGGTTAGATTCGGCATATCAAAGAACCCCAATAATTCAATTTTTGATGAAATCAAACAAAGTTTAATTTTGGACCCTTTTGACCTCAATGTGGACAAAGTTGATAACGGGGCCCAAAAATCAAAAATCTAAATACATGGTTATATTCAGCATATCAAAGAACCCCATATATTCAATTTTTGTTGAAATCAAACAAAGTTTAATTTTGGACCCCGATTTGGACCAACTTGAAAACTGGGCCCATAATCAAAAATCTAAATACATGTTTAGATTTAGCATATCAAAGAACCCTAAGAATTCAATTTTTGTTAAAATCAAACTAAGTTTAATTTTGGACCCTTTGGACCTTAATGTAGACCAATTTGAAAACGGAACCAAAATTTAAGAATCTAAACACACAGTTAGATTCGGCATATCAAAGAACCCCAATAATTCAATTTTTGATGAAATCAAACAAAGTTTAATTTTGGACCCTTTGGACCTTAATGTGGACCAATTTAAAAACGGGGCCCAAAATCCAAAAACTAAATACACGGTTAGATTCAGCATATTAAAGAACCCCATGAAATCAAGAATAAAACCCCATTGAAATTGGTCAAGAAATAAGCAATTTATAGGAAGTATCTTCTTTTGCACAATCCTGTGCTATTAAATTTTTCTTGCTATTGCGCAATACTGTACAATTGACAATTTCTTGCTATTGCGCAATATTGTGCTATTGGATATTTCTTGCTATTGCGCAATACTGTGCAATTGAAGATTTCTTGCTATTGCGCAATACTGTGCAATTGAAGATTTCTTGCTATTGTGCAATACTGTGTAATTGAAAATTTCTTGCTATTGCACAATACTTATTATATAATAATTTACACATCCTGTTTGGTGTGTATCTCCTACCATATCATTATTATTTGATTTTAAATATAAATCAGAAATAACCAACTTAAAATGGAAAATTTTAAAAGAAACAAAAAAGGAAAAAAAGAAAAAAAAAGGAAAAAAAAATAAATCCCCCCCCAAAATTTTTTGAACCCCCATTATGATTCATCACCCCCAAACTCAATCCCAGCCTTCCCTTTGTGGTATGGTACCTTGCAGTACAATTTCAGAGAGATCCATACACTTGAACACAAGTTATTGTCTGGAAACTAGAAAAAAATGTGTTTTTTGGCCCCTTTTTGGCCCCAAATTCCTAAACGTTTAGGGCAATTACCCCCAAACTCAAACCCAGCTTTCCCTTTGTGATATGGAACCTTGTAGTACAATTTCAGAAAGATCCATACACTTACACACAAGTTATTGTCATGAAACTAGAAAAATGCTTGTTTTTTGCCCCTTTTTTGGCCCCTAATTCCTAAAATTTGGAGGCAATTACCCCCAAAATCAATCCCAGCATTCCTTTAGTGATATGGAACCTTGTGGTACAATGTCAGAGAGATCCATACACTAACACACAAGTTATGTCTGGAAGTTACAAAAATGCTTATTTTTGGCCCCTTTTTGGCCCCTAATTCCTTTACTGTTATTACCATAACCCCCAAAATCAATCCCAACCTTCCTTTTGTGGTATTGAACCTTGTGGTAAAATTTCATAAAGATCCATTCACTTAAACTAAAGTTAGAGTGCGAAAACCAATGTGTCTTCGGACGACGCCGGACGACGACGACGACGACGACGACGCCGGACGACGACGACGCCAACGTCATAAAAAAAAAAATTGTTCATGAATACTTACTAACCTTATAGATATGAAGACTTAACCATATTTTAACTTTATTCAAATGAGTTCTGAGATCCAAACTGAAAGAGATTCAGCAATTTTGAACTTTATAGAAATTCAAATACAAAATAAGAAATGTAGCTGAAATCTATAAATAGCCTGTTCATGAGATTGCCTCTTTTTTTCTGGTTAAATTTTGAATTTAAATTACATATAATCATTTGCCCTCATAAACATTTCACCAATTTGTTTTTCTTTATTGCTTTGGACTAGTAAACTAAACACATTGGATATTAGATAAAATTTGCTTTATAGTTTCCTTTATTATAAATTTATCAAGTTATTTCAAATGAATCTTTGACAACTGTTTCAGAATTGGGTGATAATGCCTACAACTTTCAATTTAACTATATATTTTATTACAGAATGCTTTGTTCATTTAGCTATACCTGATACATAACTGATGTTCTGCATTGGGGGTCCTTTATTTCTTACATCTTTTTTTTTTAGACCATTTTCTCTATTCTTTATTATTCAGCACCCCATTATTCTCTATTCTTATTTTTTTTGTGCCTATATTTCTCTATTCTTTATTTTTTTAGCCATTTATTCTGCCCTTTTTGCCTATTATTTTCTATTCTGTAAACCCCATCCTGACCCTACATTAAGTAGATCATCTTCAATTTATAGATTAATACTACTATACATGGTTTCATATTCATTGGTTTAGTTTGATGTACAAATAAAACTTCTGGGAATTTCTCAAAACCAATATTTTTTATTGGTTTTTGTTTTTTATTTCCTTTGAGAACATTACAAAATATTTTTCAAAAATATAATAAAAAATATTACATGAATATGATGTTACACTACAAATGATATTTCTTGTTTTTACAGCAATGTAATGTTTTTTCCATTGATTGTTTAATATAATCTTTGATAAAACACACAATACCAGTAATAATTTACTTTACCAAGTAACCCACACTTTGAATTAAAAATACAATCAGATCAGAATAATGTTTTTTTTAATTTGTCTAACATAACTTAGTACCCTACTGATATGGTTTTATAAGTTCATTGTTGTTTTCAAAAAAAAATAATGTTAGGTGGCAATCAAAACCAATTATCTACATACATAAGTTGTTAATAATTGAAAGGTCATACATATCTGTTCATCAAGTATGAGACTATTGAGATGATTTCCCACAACATCCTGGTTTCAATTTGACAAACATGACAAAAAGTTATGCAAAGCAACCAACAAATGTTTTAAACAGTGAAAAAATAAAGACACTTTTATAGCATGCAGGATACAAAAGCAATTTCATTTTCCAATTGACTGAAAATGAATCAACTATATAATTCTTCATAAACCATACATGATTTTTTTTTACTAAATTGATAGAATTATTATATTTTTTATGCAATTTGCATTACATTTACATTACCATTATTACGTAAAATGATCAACAAAAACAAATACATTTATGCAAATACTGCAGATTAGTAAAGGTGCACCAAAAATCCTTCAAAGGCTTGCCTATAATGTGGAATAAATCTTTATCTGTATCCGCTCTTCAATCACAATCCTGGGTAATGACAATCATACATTGTCTACAGAACGTCATTCATTAAAAGTTATGAACACACAGTCGGAAAAATTCATGTGCTATAAAAAAGGAATTTGTTTCATTTTTCAAAATAAATGTATGAGCATAGGGCATGGGTTGATCATCATCTGTCTGAAATATAAAGTATATAAAATAAGTAACATTACTAAACAGATATCACTGCCATTAATATAATATAAAATAAATATATTTTTTTTATTTATGCAGACCTAAGACTTCAGATTTCATACACATATAAATAAGATGTGGTATGATTGCCATCGAGACAACTATCCACCAGAGACAAAATATGTTTAATAACACCTAAAGGACACTTTACTGCATTCAACAATGAGACAAATCCATCCCGTTTAGTTAATTCAATAGGCATGACAAATAGTGAAATGATTCAAAAGACATTTAACCAATGGCCTGATTTATGCTAAAGTCTTAAGTTATAAGCAATATTGAAATCAAGCCCTGCTAAATAATTCATTTTATAGAACATGCCAGTAGGAAATAATAGTTTTATTGTTTTTCATTTTTTTCTGTATATACAAAAAGATTGTTTGGCAATTTATGACAGCAATGCTGATTCTTTCTCATTGTAGTCTGTAATATATTGATATTACAGTTACCCTATATCTGATTCCTTCTCATTGTAGTCTGTAATATATTGATATTACAGTTACCTTATATCTGATTCTTTCTCATTATAGTCTGTAATATATTGATATTACAGTTACCCTATATCTGATTCCTTCTCATTGAAGTCCCTATATCTGATTCTTTCTCATTGTAGTCTGTAATATATTGATATTACAGTTACCCTATATCTGATTCTTTCTCATTGTAGTCTGTAATATATTGATATTACAGTTACCCTATATCTGATTCCTTCTCATTGAAGTCCCTATATCTGATTCTTTCTCATTGTAGTCTGTAATATATTGATATTACAGTTACCCTATATCTGATTCTTTCTCATTGTAGTCTGTAATATATTGATATTACAGTTACCCTATATCTGATTCCTTCTCATTGAAGTCCCTATATCTGATTCTTTCTCATTGTAGTCTGTAATATATTGATATTACAGTTACCCTATATCTGATTCTTTCTCATTGTTGTCTGTAATATATTGATATTACAGTTACCATATATCTGATTCCTTCTCATTGAAGTCCCTATATCTGATTCTTTCTCATTGTAGTCTGTAATATATTGATATTACAGTTACCCTATATCTGATTCTTTCTCATTGTTGTCTGTAATATATTGATATTACAGTTACCCTATATCTGATTCTTTCTCATTGTAGTCTGTAATATATTGATATTACAGTTACCCTATATCTGATTCCTTCTCATTGAAGTCCCTATATCTGATTCTTTCTCATTGTAGTCTGTAATATATTGATATTACAGTTACCCTATATCTGATTCTTTCTCATTGTAGTCTGTAATATATTGATATTACAGTTACCCTATATCTGATTCCTTCTCATTGAAGTCCCTATATCTGATTCTTTCTCATTGTAGTCTGTAATATATTGATATTACAGTTACCCTATATCTGATTCTTTCTCATTGTAGTCTGTAATATATTGATATTACAGTTACCCTATATCTGATTCCTTCTCATTGAAGTCCCTATATCTGATTCTTTCTCATTGTAGTCTGTAATATATTGATATTACAGTTACCCTATATCTGATTCTTTCTCATTGTTGTCTGTAATATATTGATATTACAGTTACCATATATCTGATTCCTTCTCATTGAAGTCCCTATATCTGATTCTTTCTCATTGTAGTCTGTAATATATTGATATTACAGTTACCCTATATCTGATTCTTTCTCATTGTTGTCTGTAATATATTGATATTACAGTTACCATACATGTATATCTGATTCTTCTATACAAACATGAAGCATGATAGACAACTTAGGGTTCTCATTAAAACCAGTCCGTGAGTCCTGGACTCGTTAAAATCAGTTTGACTCATCATTTTTAAAACTGGTATGTCCAAAGATACATCAAGATTGTAAAATGTTGTATCAACTGAGCACAAATATCACTTTTATCTTTTATGACAAAAGTTTTAAAATAATCTAAACTTGATGTCATTTCCTTGCTCTATTTTGTCATGGGGACTGAAATAATAAATGATATAGCAATAAAATTTCATCTTCTCACTGATGGACTCGCCATGGCCAAAAATGGACTTTTCAAAATTCCTTAGTGAGAATCCTAGATCTTGCAAGAATTCCAGTCAAACAGATGCAAAGGACCATCTTGAACTTCCAATGAGGTGACAGCCTTTACTCCTATATCAAAAGCATCACTGTTGACTTTGAGATGAAGAATTGCAATTAAAGCACTGTAACTTGCTTTTGGTTTTGTCCAGTGTGTGCAAGGATATTGTGTCATGAATTAATCCATGATGTCCAATCTATTCCTTATCTATAACCATGATATAAATTACTACTATAACACTTCCATCAGGTGTTGATTGACACTTACCTTAAGTTGACCTATAATCACTACTATAACACCCCCATCAGCCATCGGCTGACAATCACACTTTGTTACATTATGTGCTATTTTTGTAATTGGTAAACTCTGAAGATAGAAAATAAATGAAATCAGGTAAGAAAAATATAGTTATTCAGAAATTTTAGCATGCATTTGTTATTTCAATTGTTGATCAATGGAAAAATAGGAGAATACTTTAAACAATTTCAGGAATGCTATAATAAACATTAGTAAATGTATGTATGTACACTAGACTCCAGCAAGTAGGATAGTTAAAATGTCAGCAAAAAATATCCCATTTCCCAATATACTCAATTATCCGTTATATATTTATTGATGCTTCTTAAAACAAGCATTCTGAGAGTATTGCATGGCAATACATAGTCCCCTACCTGGTAAAAATTCATTATACTGGAACAAAATGCTAACTTGTTCTATAACTTGTCATGGTGTAAACAAAAAGTAAATATCATGTCAATATCTTCAGGCATGACTAAAAACAGTGTTGAAAACTGATTATAAGAGTGAATTTTTCAAGTCCAAGGACCATAACTCTGCACAAAATTATTAGACCGAAACAAAAATATGAACTTGATCTGTAACTTGTCATGATAAAACTATATACCAATTATCAATCAATATCTTATAAGCATGATGAAAAAAACATTAGATATGATTAATAGTTCTCTAAAATTAGATATGATGTAATACAGTGTATATCTATTTTCAAATTATAATCAAATATAATTAATAGTTCCAAATATTTTTTCTTTCATTTGTCACAAACTAATATAGATTTGTAACTTATCTATAAAATGTCAACAACTTTTATCTACACAATGTAATGTATTGAAACATATACATTAATAAAAATAGATTATTACCAATTAAAGGATTTCTCTTCATAATTTTTTTTTATTTATATATATAGCATTCAGAAAATTAATTTATACTAAATACATGAAATAACAAACAAACCTGCCAAAAAATTCTTCCAATAATTTAACAAAGAATGTCCTTTAAAAAATTAGTTATCTCCCTTTGTACAGAAATATGGTTTAACATAGTACTCTAACATTAGATATGGTCCATAACTCTGGACTAAATCATCAGACTGGAACAAAATTCGAACTTGATCTATAACTTGTTATGATAATACTATATGCCAAATATCAAATCAATATCTTCAAGAACAAAGAAAAAAAGAGTGGAAAGTTGATTTGCCGGACTGACGGATTGACAGACGGACGGAGTGCAAACCTAAAGTCCCCTTCGACTTCGTCGGTAGGGGACTAATAAATGGGGAATGTGTCCATGGGAAACAGATGATGCCCCCGCTTGCATATAACATTATAAAGGGACATATATTAAGAACTGTAAAAGTGATGCTACCCAAATTTGTACTTGATCTGATTTTTGTGGTAATAATCATTGTTTATAAGTTTCATAACATTTGGTTGAGGCAAACTAAAGTTAGAGAACGGAAATGAAAATGTCAGCAATTTTTCCATTTGTAAAGGGGCATAACTCTTGAACGGTAAAAGTGACGCCACCAAAATTCAAACTTGATCTGTGTTTTGTGGTAATAAGCATAGTGTATAAGTTTCATAACATTTGGTTGAGGCAAACTAAAGTCAGAGAACGGAAACCAATTTTGGGACGTACGTACGTACGTACGTACCAACAGACAAGGGTAAAACTTAATGCCCCCTCCGCCACGGCAGGGGCATAAAAACTTGACCTAATCCCCAGTTGTTTCAAGCTCTGACAAACTGTTCTTGAGGTTTATATTTTTGCATTTATTTTACCACTGATTTTGATCTTATCAAATGTACATAAATAAGGCCATTAGAATTGTTATAGCTAACTATATGGCATGTGGTTGCTCATTGTTAAAGCCATATCCTGACAGGTACCAGTTTGCATCTACCTTATATAGTTTTCAAGATAATAGCCAATAAAATGCTCCGCAGGGCGCAGCTTGATACGACCGCAGAGGTCGAACCCTGAACAGTTGGGGCAAGTATGGACACAACATTCAAGCTTGATACAGCTCTGAATTTGGATTGTGATTAAATATTTGACACAGCATAGGTTTCTGACACAGAATGAATGTGGTCTAAGAACTTAAAAATTTTAAATTGGACATTCAACTATTATGGTCCAATATCCAAAATCTAAATACATGGTTAGATTCAGCATATCAAAGAACCCCAAGAATTCAATTTTTGATGAAATCAAACAAAGTTTAATTTTGGACCCTTTTGACCTCAATGTGGACTAAGTTGATATTGGGGCCCAAAAATCAAAAATCTAAATACATGGTTAGATTCAGCATATCAAAGAACCCCATATATTCAATTTTTGTTGAAATCAAACAAAGTTTAATTTTGGACCCCGATTTGGACCAACTTGAAAACTGGGCCCATAATCAAAAATCTAAATACATGTTTAGATTCAGCATATCAAAGAATCCTAAGAATTCAATTTTTGTTAAAATCAAACTAAGTTTAATTTTGGACCCTTTGGACCTTAATGTAGACCAATTTGAAAACAGAACCAAAAATTAAGAATCTAAATACACGGTTAGATTCGGCATATCAAAGAACCCCAATAATTCAATTTTTGATGAAATCAAACAAAGTTTAATTTTGGACCCTTTGGACCTCAATGTGGACCAATTTAAAAACGGGGCCCAAAATCCAAAAACTTAATACACGGTTAGAATCAGCATATTAAAGAACCCCAAGAATTCAAGAATAAAACCCCATTGAAATTGGTCAAGAAATAAGCAATTTATACGAAGTATCTTCTTTTGTACAATACTGTGCAATTGAATATTTCTTGCTATTGTGCAATACTGTACAATTGACAATTTCTTGCTATTGCGCAATATTGTGCTATTGGATATTTCTTACTATTGCACAATACTGTGCAATTGAAGATTTCTTGCTATTGCGCAATACTGTGCAATTGAAGATTTCTTGCTATTGTGCAATACTGTGCAATTGAAAATTTCTTGCTATTGCACAATACTTATTTTATAATAATTTACACATCCTGTTTGGTGTGTATCTCCTACCATATCGTTATTATTTGCTTTTAAATATAAAACAGAAATAACCAACTTAAAATGGAAAATTTTAAAAGAAAAAAAAAAGGAAAAAAAAAAAATCCCCCCCCCCCAAATTTTTTGAACCCCCTTATGATTCATCACCCCCAAACTCAATCCCAGCTTTCCCTTTGTGGTATGGTACCTTGCAGTACAATTTCAGAGAGATCCATACACTTGAACACAAGTTATTGTCTGGAAACTAGAAAAATGTTTATTTTTGGCCCCTTTTTGGCCCCTTATTCCTAAACGTTTTGGGCAATTACCCCCAAAATCAATCCCAGCATTCCCTGTGTGATATGGAACCTTGTGGTACAATTTCAGAGAGATCCATACACTTGAACACAAGTTATTGTCTGGAAACTAGAAAAATGCTTATTTTTGGCCCCTTTTTGGCCCCTTATTCCTAAACGTTCTGGGCAATTACCCCCAAACTCAATTCCAGCTTTCCCTTTGTGATATGGAACCTTGTGATACAATTTCAGAAAGATCCATACACTTACACACAAGTTATTGTCATGAAACTAAAAAAATGCTTGTTTTTTGCCCCTTTTTTGGCCCCTAATTCCTAATATTTTGAGGCAATTACCCCCAAAATTAATCCCAGCATTCCCTGTGTGATATGGAACCTTGTGGTACAATGTCAGAGAGATCCATACACTAACACACAAGTTATGTCTGGAAGTTACAAAAATGCTAATTTTTGGCCCCTTTTTGGCCCCTAATTCCTTAACTGTTGGTACCATAACCCCCAAAATCAATCCCAACCTTCCTTTTGTGGTATTGAACCTTATGGTAAAATTTCACAGAGATCCATTCACTTAAACTAAAGTTAGAGTGCGAAAACCAATGTGTCTTCGGACGACGCCGGACGACGACGACGACGACGACGACGACAACGACGACGACGACGACGACGACGACGCCAACGTCATACCAATATACGACCAAAAAATTTTCAATTTTTGCGGTCGTATAAAAACAAAAAATAAATTGCTTCGCTGAGCGCAGCTGGATATGACCGCAGAGGTCCAACCCTGAACAGTTGGGGCAAAAATGGACGGAATATTCGAGCTTGATACAGGTCTGAATTTGGATTGTAATTAAATATTTGACACATAAAAGGTTTCTGACACAGAATAACTGTAGTCAAAGAACTTAGAATTGGTTATATGATTTGAATTTATATTCAATTTTTTGCTTTTGTGCAATACACTTTGCTGTTGCGAATTGACCCCCCCTCCCCAACAAAAAATAAAATGCTTCGCTGGGCGCAGCTTGATACGACCACAGAGGTCGAACCCTGAACAGTTGGGGCAAGTATGGACACAACATTCAAGCTTGATACAGCTCTGAATTTGGATTGTGATTAAATATTTGACACAGCATAGGTTTCTGACACAGAAAGAATGAGGTCTAAGAACTTCATTTTTTTTAATTTACCTATTATGGTCCAATGTCCAAAATCAAAATACATGGTTAGATTCAGCATATCAAAGAACCCCATATATTCAATTTTTGTTGAAATCAAACAAAGTTTAATTTTGGACCCCAACTTGGACAAACTTGAAAACTGGGCCCATAATCAAAAATCTAAACACATGTTTAGATTCAGCATATCAAAGTACCCCAAGAATTCAATTTTTGTTAAAATCAAACTAAGTTTAATTTTGGACCCTTTGGACCTTAATGTAGACCAATTTAAAAAACAGGACCCAAAATTAAAAATCTAAAAACACGGTTAGATTTGGCATATCAAAGAACCCCAATAATTCAATTTTTGATGAAATCAAACAAAGTTTAATTTTGGACCCTTTTGACCTCAATATGAACCAATTTGATAGCGGGCCCACAAATAAAAAATCTAAATACATGGTAAGATTCAGCATATCAAAGAACCCCATATATTCAATTTTTGTTGAAATCAAACAAAGTTTAATTTTGGACCCCAATTTGGACCAACTTGAAAACTGGG